TACACGACAGGCACCGCGACACGCTCACGCCGTAACCCCGCAGTACAGGTGAGGCGGCGGCTCCGGCCATGTGAGAAGGAGCGTCCAGCTAGCTGAGCACCAGCTAGTCCTGGGGACGTGAAGCCCCGTGGACGCGGTCTCCCTGTCTGCTGAGCCCCGCTTGGCCGTGTGTTGGGAAATGGACGTGGAGGTGAAGGGGCCAGTGAGGCTGTTGGGGACCCTCAGGGAAGTGAGGACAGCAGCCCAGGGCACCGGGTGGCTGCAGGGTGGGGGCAGAGGGGCCCTCACCTGCTCGAACTCATCCGTGATGGTCTTGGGCTCCTCGTGCCTCTGGAACCACATCATGTACTTGGTGTGGAATCGCCATGACTGCTTCTTGAGGGCCTTGGCTGCCAGGTACTGTGCCTTCGTGCCCTGGGAGGGAGGGCGGAGAGGGGTCAGGAGGCCCCCAAGCTGGGTGGGGTGGGAGGTGGGCAAGACATCAGGGCTGACCCCGGGCCCCGCCATGACCACGCTGGGCTGGACAGTCCACCTGGAGGCAGAGCTGTGGGCACAGAACACACCAAGCTGGTCAGGAGGAAGTGAGACAGGAGGTGGACCTGCTCTCAGAGAGGCTTAGAGGAGCTAGCAAGTGGTAAGAGCTGAGGAGGCCGCAGGACACTTCTCAGGTGAGGGCGAGGGTGGAGGTTCCTCGGGACTCGCTGGGACCAGGAGGTCAGGAACCGCTGGACGGTTCCACAGAGGCCTCTAGGAAGGCTGAGGATGTGCCCGGGAGCAGGGTGGAGGGCTGGCCCAGATCAAAGGCCCTGCGAGCAGAGCTGGCGGCCTAGTGTACCAGTGAGCAGAGCGGGGCTGGGACTCACAGGTCGTTAATACCTTAGGAGTGGGACAGGGACGGGGCATACAGGGCAGGGAAGGGGTGCAGTCCCTGTGGCCACAGTGGGACACCCACCTCACCCCTCCAGCCCATGGGGAACGGCGGTGGTGGCGGAGAAGCCAGGGGCCCCAGGCTGCCCCGGGGGCCCTGCTGTA